AAAAAAAAAAAAAAAAAAAAATTACTCAAAAATGCGTTCGCCGGGAATCGAACCCGGGGCCCATCGAGGTTGTAACGCTCTTATCTGTGAAGATATGAAGCTGTTGGCAACGATGGATTTTACCACTAAACCACAAACGCTGGTTGGAAATCAATAGTTTGCTTGATTTGTTGGTGATAGAAGGTGGGTTTGGGTATATACAGGGTTGGAGGATGTATGTACAAGGATGGGATTTGGGAACCCAAAATTGTATATTAGACGGGGTGGGGTAATGGGGCTAATCTTAATCTTAATATAGTCTAGCGTAGTACTCTTGCGCAGAGTGCTTTCGGAGAGAGCTCTTCCTCTCTACCTTTAGTCTAATCAATGGAAGCAACCATCTCCTGAAGGAAGTTATTCTCTTAACATTAGTGTGTATTCTCACAAATGAGTTTTAACGGTATTGCTCTTTCCCCTGGGATTCCTTAAACATATCACAAGGGTCGGTCGATCCAAATCTCAATAAGATACTTTGACGGGTATCTTCACGGGTGTCTTCATTGCCGAAACTATGGCACCTCTCTCTCTCTTTTTTATATGATATCCCGTCTCTCGCTCCTGTCTTTTTTTAAAAAAAAAAAACAAACAGCCAAGCCGGGATCGTGTCATTCTTTTTTACACATGAAATCCAAAAGAGATCTCAAACCGGAAGAGAGCTCTCAAGCAAAAAAACAAAAAAAACAAAAAAAAAAGACAAATGAGTTGATAGATGACTAGGATTTCCGTCCCCGGACACTCACATCCCACAATACTATTATAAGCTTAACGTCATAATTTCCAAATCACTGTTGACGTTCACCAAGACTCACCTGGGCACGAACCGCTGATCCTCCGGAAAAGAAACATCCGGAGCGCCCCGAGTGGAAGGCGTAGGTTAACTTTCTTTGATACTTATTCTCCTTGCTGTTGGTTATATCTTTATTTCTACTTCAATTTCCCTCGTTTTTCTATGCCTGCTTGATATCATCACAAGGCTCTTCTTATTTCCGAGAGAAGATTATTTGTAGCACAAACGAGAGATTGTGGAACACGACGGGTAGGATTTGAGACGACCCCAATGATCAAAATTTCGAAAGGGATCCCTGGCTAGGAATGGATCAATCGTTTTGAACATCAGACGAACAGCTAAACAACATCGGCTCAAGATACACAAGCATCTCGAGACTTCAGACAAGTGCTGTGCGAGCAGAGAATTCATTCCTCGAATTGAAACAACGAGTTCACGATATTGAGTCGAAGACCAAGATATTCACTGCGCATTACCTATTATCCCCGCCACAGACAGCAAACCCCCTCACAATGCTCTGCACAAACAGACCCGAAGGCTTCGTAGGTCTTCATAAATATCCCCTCAACCCCACCCCGACTAACATCCACCCCAGGGCGCAACATCCCACCTCAACTTCTCTACACTCCCCACAACATGTTTCACAGTTGTCATTCTCATTCCACTCCCAACGTGGCTCGCTCTCGCCTTCATGCCCATCCTCTTCGCTCTGGGGCTCCACCACCGCAAAACAAATTTCAACCCTTCCACCGCACACCTGCGCTCCAACACCCGTCCTTCCTATAAGTACCTCGTCTTCCTTATTATCTACTACACCCTTATCATATGCAACATTCTCATGCTCACTATTGAGATTGTGCGATTGTCTCTGATTCAATACGGCATTGGTTTAATACCATTTGCATACATCGGACTTTTTCTCTCGGCCTTCTTGTTTTGGAGTGAAGGAATACAAGGTCGTATAGAGTGGTGGCAGAGTATAAATATCTTAATTTGGATAGGAGGAATCGTCATGAGTGTTGTGCAGGTTGTTGGATTACAGCAACAGTTTGGAATCAATAGGATGAAGGGGAGTAAATATCCAATTAGCGACCAGGTTACCGATGTAGCTGTTATGGCGGGAGTATATGCCGTTATTGCGCTCCTGGAGCTAGTACTGGTGGTATGGAGGGGAAAGAGAAGGATATCAGCGTTTAGGGAGGAGAGGGGAGAAATTGGCGCGTTTGATTATAGGAGAGATGAGGGCGAGAGCTTTGCTATCAAGGACTAGGTTATTGTTGAGGAATCTTGGGGAAATTTTTGGGATGCTCTTGTACTTGTATTCTTGAAGATTGGTTCAGCTGGTTTGGGGCGTTGGAATAAATACATTGGGACTGACTATTTTATTGGAACTATTATATTGGGATATGGTTATGGTATACCCCATGTATGTACTTTTTGATGGGAAATTCGAACGAAGATAAATACACTTCCTAAACGTTTTTTTCCACCCAAGAATGAACAAATTGCATGTATCGTCATTTTCCACCTATATGGCCCATCGTATTAGTGTAGTTATTGATCTAGGCGAGTGATATTGGTCTAGACTCAAGCAAAGCCGGTGCTAATCACCCAGCTTACATCATCGTTGAATAAAGTGGCCGAGTCAAAATCGTGAACGCCGCCGTTGCTTCCGATGTAGAGCACATTGAAGTAGTGTCGGAAATAGCGGGTAGGATAGCTCCAGGATCGAATCGAGCTGCCCTGGCCATTGAGGCCAGCTTGCGGACAGAATGTGGCGTCTTCATGGAACAGCTTGGTGCCATCGTTGGCGGCGACATAGAGTTCGAAGTTATTATGACGTATATAACTGCCGGGGGTATCGTTGGATTCAAAAGAGAAGCAGGCGCTGTTGCCAAGGCCGGTGCGAACATACCAGCTAGCTTGCTGTTTGAGGGCGGTACTGCTGGATGATGTAACCACTTGGGTATTGACCGTAGTGCCAGTATGTGTGATGTAGCGTGTCGTGTAACCAGATGTGGTGGCCTGCAGAGAGATCGAGGAACCGACGGTGAAAGCCGCTCCGCTGGTCAATGATGTGGTGGCATATTTCGCGGCTACGATGTCAGCCTGGACCGAGCTTTCTGTTGCATCGGAAGGATAACCGGAGGTCATCACACCCTCGTAGAACGTTCCCTGGGCGCTTACGCTATTGTCGCCGCCGATACCGAGGACGATAGCACCCTCTTTGCTCATCGGGTTATAGCCAGACGCAGTTGGGCGCACGCCACTGTAGTACGTCGAAAGCGAACCAGATGCGGCATTGGCGCCGCGAATCGCCCAGTGGTTTGGTTCCCCCTTGACAATCGCAGTGAAGAATCGATACGAAATCGATGGGTCACCGGTATTGGTACCAGCGCTGAGACCAGAGAACAGGCCGTTCTCGAGATCAGCCATTAACCAAGGGCCGCTACCGGCTCCCTGTCCCCAACCGGTACTGTCGCCGAAGTAGATGGCCTCCATATGACCGTTACCCGTATCAGTACTACTAGTCTCTGCATTACCGTAATCAAAACAGCACCCGCCATTGTAGTGGGTTCCATCAAGAACCGCATACATGCCCTGAGCTGCGTCCCCTTTAGCTATGCCAGTAGCGGCATTATTGCGGTATCCGGTTCCGGGTGAGATAAAGACACCGTATGCCTTGTTTCCGTTTAGCGTGACTGGTGCTGCATTTGCACCGGCCAAGTTGTCCTTGCCATTAGTATCCGGGCCAGCAAAGGCTCCACCAGGAGCTTGGGTGAGGTGATTACCGGTGCCGGACTGGTCGTAAATAATCGTGATGAGACAAGTCGTATTAGCGCAGAAAGTGTCTTGAGCAGCAGCATTAGCGACCCCTCCTGCAGACAGTGGAGTAATGTCTTTTGTAGTCCCGTCAGAGCCACGTTTCACCTAGTACAACATCGGAGAGTTAGTGATAGGCTATCGATGGAAGATTTTGAAAAGGAACTAGAGGTCGGTATCAGGGACAGTGAGTATGAAATAAAAGAACCAAGTATGTACCTGGTAGAGTGAGCCGGAGTAGGCGCTGTACAGAGCGCGAGTAGTGCTGTGCGCGGCGACTACAAAATTGGAGAGTCAGTATTTGCCTATTAAGAGAAGGGTTCGGGGGAATTCGAGGAATGAGAGCTGCATCATATAATGAAGAGTATGCATATGATGGAATACGAAAGTGGAAGTTGAGATTGGGGAACAGAACTGGGTACTAAGGAGGGCGAAAATCAATGAACTGATTGAGCTTACCACAGGGCGTTCCGCCAGAGGAGTAGATGTCGCAAGGTGCAGCAGAAACAAGGGAGCCTGTGGCAACGAGGCCTAGAGCGAGTACTCTGGCACGTTCGAGCCTTGTTCGTGAGAACATATCTGATTATTTTTGGGGGGACGCTGGGATGAGCAAGCCTATTGGCGTTTTGATATCGTCAAAGAGAGGCTTAAACGATTACAGACGTCGAGCATTAGCTTGTGAAAAACGTAGAGTTGGTGACTGGCGTGTCTTCTTATATTATAATCTTCATCTAATTTGTGAAGATTGACTTGTGCTCCCAATTGGGACGCATAGTGGACATCCACATCTGGGGTAGGCGTACTATGGAAATTGGAACACATAACGAGTTGTATGGAACGATTTATTCCACCTCTGATGCTTGCGAGAAGCTGCTCCATATGTGCCTAGGCCTTGTCCATACAACGCTAGAGACAGCAGCGATTATGAATGCACCATGCATAATGGTAGGTAGTCATGGGAGAGAAGGTCAAAGAACGCATAATATATCCATAGCGATTGGAGGAAATTACCCCCACTTCCGCGTGCCAGCATCACCCGTCAATTTAGACCGGTATATTAGAACTTAGAAGTTGGATATGCGGAGAGATCCCAGGGAGCGGATCTAGGTTAATATCTGCACAAAATTTATCAAATCCAATGATTGGATACCAAGACCCTTAAAATAAGAGATGTACTATGCGCTCCAATCTGCAGAACGCAAGCTGATCTTGGCAGGGGTGGACCGGAGTATTCAGGTAGCCACAGATGGTTTAAATCCAACATCTGGATCCGGGGCCCCAGGCCGGCAATACTAGGCAACTACCGAATTGGGTTGCCCATTGAGCATGTGACAGATATTCTGTCTGAGGCGCCATCCTTCGCTCTTAGGTTTGGTGAGAGAGGTCTTTTGACGAGATATTTTTGAATTTTACCCAAGAGTAAGAATTAATACGCTAATTGCTTAGCAAAATATTAACATTTTTTGATCCTTGAATCTGAATGAATGAAAA